TGCTGAAATGGGAATTTTGGCTGAGTACACTGCTGTGATGAAGCCTGTTTGTTAGGATTGCTCGGACACGAAAGTGAGCAAGTAAAAAATAGATGGACCCAGGTAGCTGACTTCGGTGCAAGTAGTGCCAAATTTATTTACAGTGTAGTGAACAAACAAGAAAACAGGCAGGCGAGGAATGGTGGAGAGCAACTGGGTGTCGATCACCAGTGGAGAAATCAGTCTGTAGGGAGATGGATGGGAGTAGGCCAGGCTGCGGACGCAGGGGTCACTCCTGAGCTGGTCGACGGTGTAGTGGTGGTGACTGAGAAGAGAGCAGACAATAGTTGGTACAGAGGAATAGGGCTCCTGTTCAGTGTTAAATGGTCACAGCTGAATGGTACAGCTGCAAGAAGCCTGCTGTGCCATTTGGAGGGAAACTGAATATACAGTATATCTTACACTGTAAATACTTTACACTGTTCAAAAATACAAATGTTACCTACAGTAGGTATTTGTTTTGAAAGTTATGTTGTAAAAAAGTGAGATTAGGAAGTTTGTGTTTCATGTTCCTTAATTTGCTATTTTGTAAAGATATTTATTTTATTTCATTTATTTTATTATTTGGAGATGCCAAAATGTGTACATTATTTTATCGTTTCGTCTGGCTGCTTACATAATTTCTAAAAAATAAATCAGACATTACTATGAAACAGTTACTCAGTACTTGAGTAGTCTTTTCACCGAATACTTTTTTACTCTTGAGTAATATTTTGGATGACTAGTTTTTACTTCTACTTGAACAATATTATTTTGAAGTACAGCTACTCTTACTTGAGTACAATTTTTGGCTACTCTACCCACCTCTGTTTGTTTTGTGACCAGTGCTCTTATTAAAGACAGAGTGTTCTGCTTTTACTCATCTGGTCTTATCATTGAGGCAGCTTTACACACTGCCCCTGACAATTAATGTATTTTCTATGTTCCTTTTATCATGCTACAAAGAAGGTCACTCTATTATTATTATTAGAACTTTTCATAGTAGTACAACATAGTAGTACTATCAGCTATGTAGCTTTGACTGTGTATGTTTTGGTGTTTGATATTTTGTGTGTGTTGGTTGTCAGGATTACAGACAAATGTCTGGATGGATCATCAGCATACTTGGTACAGACACTAGTGATGACCAACCCTAGAAGAGATTAGATTTTGGCTGAAAAGGGGCAAAGGTCAAGGTCACAAGAAAACCCCAAAATAAATCACACCATCTTTCCATCTTTAACATGGGGAGGGGGACACACTGTATATCTGTCAAAAGTTATCAAAATAATTTTTTGTTTGAAACTTGTATGTAGGGGGACAATGTCTTTCAGCAGACCAAATTTCATCTGGGTCTTATCCTGATTCTGGATCTGATGGTCATTTAAAGTTAACACAGATGACCCAATTTAATGTGTACTTTCTGCCATAACGTGGCCTGTAATGAGGATAGAACCCTGAAATGCTCAAATAATATGCACATTATCACATTATTACCTATTATACCCTAAAAGATGATCCAGCTCAAGGATTTTAGGACTCATTTGTGGATTAGATGATCCAGATCAAGGATTTTAGGACTCATTTGTGTTGTTCTGGATCGCATTCTTCACAAGGGACCATTTGTGTGAGTGAATGTTGTGCCTTGGCGGAGGTACATGCGCTGTCTGAGTGCTCTTGTTTATTTATTTCATTTTAAATACAAGAACAAGATAGTGACCCTCAAAGTCAAAAGAACATATTATGTTAACAGCTGGACATTAACTACTGTAAGGGTTTGATTACACAGGTTATCATGTGTGATTCATTTGAGTGCACTGGCAGTTCCACAGTGTTACGTACCGTTGGAAGGTTAGAGATACTTATATTTGCATGAAGCATTTGCTGATATGAACCATACCTCACAAAAGAGGGTGATTTTTTTTTTCACTATAAAACAAAATTTAAAAAGCTAGACATTGCTTAGGTAATTTAATGCCATTTATTATGTATAGAAATCATGAATACAATAGTAATGTGTCTCTTATTACACTGGCTCTTACAACAGCTACTGTATGAATTGTTAAGAAAAGCTTGTATGACATAATTCCATGTCAGCAAATCAAGATGATCTAAAACAGTTTCATTTACCTGGCAGTATACAGTACATAACAAATATCCACCATATGGTTATGTTTTGTAAAACTGAATATGTTTGATTCAAATACATTTTAATCTTATTTGTGAAGAATCATTCAGTCAGCAAAAATAATGATTATAACATAAAACAGGAGGATGAAGGTTTCCAGATGACAACTTGTCTTTTTCTTTCACAACCAGGAATTTTCATCTAGTCAGAGTCACTGCTGCAGGAGCTGCTGGACGACTGTAGCACAGACCAACACAACAGACAGACAAATTAATCACTTCAGTCCTCAACAAAGCTAATGTATAGCTCAGTATGTGACTGTTTACATTAGGCTTAGGATTATTATAGCATGTAATCATTCCGTTCTTCACTCAGGATTTGGCATTTCTGTTTTTTAAATTTCACATTAAGCTGTTCCATATATCACAATTTGAATTTGGAATAACATGTCATTTCTAGAGCAAATTAAACCATCACATAATAGATTCTTCAGAAAGTGATTATTCTTACCCCACGAGAGTGCCTTCCATTCTTGTGACAACGGCTGTGCTTGTGACCATGCTTGTGCTTGTGCTTCTGCTTGTGCATGTGTCCATGGCCCTGTCCGTGACCCGGTCCATAGCCCTGTCCGTGGCCCTGTCCTTGGCCTGGTCCGTAGCCCTGTCCGTGACCCGGTCCATAGCCCTGTCCATAGCCTTGTCCTTGGCCTGGTCCATAACCCTGTCCATAGCCTTGTCCTTGGCCTGGTCCGTAGGTCTGTCCGTGACCCGGTCCATAGCTCTGTCCGTAGCCCTGTCCTTGGCCTGGTTCATAGCCTGGTCCAGGTCCATACCCTTGGCCTTGACCATAGCCAGGACCAGGTCCATGTCCACTGGCACCTCCATTTGGCCCATAGGGCTGAGGAGGCCAGTTTGGTGGTCGGACAGTGCCTGGAGGATGGTGAGTGTATCCACCTGGCATCTGTTGAGAATAGTTTGGGTGGCCAGGGGGATACTGGTTTCCTAAACACAAGAAGTGAGCCATCAAATAGGAGTCAATACTTAGCAAAAGTTATTATCGAGTATGTAATCTTGCAGTCTAATATACATTATTTGAAAGCAGCTGTGTTTACCTTGGTTGTGTCCGTACATTTTGAATCAACAAATCCTGAAAAATGAAAACAAAGCACTCTAAATAAATCAACACAATTTGTCTTTCATCATGACTATAATAGTACTTTCATATTTATGACACTCAACAAGCTACAAATCATCAGCAGTTGTTGAATCAGAGTTGCAGTGGTGAACTTACTGTGTGCTGGAGTGCAGAACCACAGATGTCACCTGTTTTTTATATGCACGCCGCACCTCAAGCCTGAATCAGTGCACCTCACATCATCAGGGGCAGTGCCTAACTTCCCCACCTGGGAACACCAGGTGCTGTGGCTACACCCAGCCACATAGCAGTGCGCTCTTTGTGCAGATAAAGTGGGAGTGTTGCATCAGGAAGGGCATCAAGCATAAACCCTATGACAAATCACATATGCTGACTGTTGAGACTGGTGATCCCTGATCAACTGGGGAGCAGCTGAAAAAGGAACGAGGAGGGTGCCTGACTCCCATCAGAAGATTTTTACTTAAAGCATTTGAATACATTTCCCCCCCCAGTTTACATTTAAACAAAACCAACCAGGCTGCCCCTTATTTGTCAGTGTTAGTGAGACAAAGTCACTTTGCCAAACCTTTGATTATGTAGTTGATAAAAAACAGTTTCAAGTGAATGTGCTTAACTTTACATATCACAAAATTTTAGACTTAATATGCCCACAACCTCCCCCCTCCCCCACCTCCTCACATGTTGCATCTCATGTTTTTGTATTAAATATGACAATAACAAGTGGAATAAAACATGTCTTTGTTCTATCTTGCCACCGGGAAGACCGAGCCATTGACCTGATGGAAGCATGAGGCTCCTGGAACAGAGGGAATAAGAAACAGGGCTTGGATTTTTAACAAAGCACAGGATCTATACAGTATATGTAAATTGCTGGGAACCAATTATTTTAATGGAAATATTCACAATTTTGCTAAATAAGTTCTTCTGGGCACTCTGGGCATTTCCATGCCAAGACAGTATACAGAATGTCAGGGTCCTATCAATAAAAGACAAAAAGTTCTTAAGATAAAACAACTAGAGACAAAATAGGCTGTCTTACACATGAAACAGCCGTTCTCAACTTTTCTTATAAATAAAATCAGTGTGTCAATCCCACTTCAATTAAAACCCCCAAAATATTTATATTCCCAACAACCTGGATATGTTTACCACTTTGAACTGCTGGTCGAACCAGTGGATATTATTCCTGGAATCAATATATGTTTCTTTTGTTGTGTTAGTTCCAAGATCACTAACAACTCGCTACTAGAGAGGACTACAGAGCTGTAGGGTGTGTAACTAGAGGAAATCACTGCTGAACAAAAGTCAGGTTTCAACCCTCCCTGGGTAAATAAAGATTATATAAGTGCATCTACTGATAGCTAACACACACACAGTAATAAGATACAGTGCCAATCAAAATGAAGGCCAGAGGCAAGAGTTTGTGATTACCAGATTCCTGTTTATTACAAGGCAACAATTATGATCAGCGTCCAGTATATAAAAGCATACACAGTGTCACACACTGACTACTGCTGATGTCCTTGTCAAAGCTGTATGTGTACAGCTCTGTCTACTTTAATATGTAATATGGTTTAACACATGACTTAAACATGACTCTGAAAGATTCCCAAACCTGTGTGTTGTATTTAATAACCCATGAAAACACACACGCTTTAAAAAGTAGGTGAGTGAATAAACTGATTATTGTAAGTAGGAAGAAGAAGGCGTCCAGGTAGCAACTTGTCATGTTTCTCTTCATGGCGAGGAATCTTCATCTAGTCAGAGTCAGTGGTGCAGGAGGTGGTGGAGTACTGCAACAAGAAACGACACACTGTCACATCATGCAGAGATGATGTCATTGTCTCATTATTACACTGTTGTCTTCTTGAGTGATGAATAGTTCTGGATCCATTTCTAACAGGAACATCCAGTTTTGACTTTGTTGCTTCTCTATTTGTTTTTGGTTTGGGCCACACTTAAACATGCTGCTTCTGTGCCACCTGGAGGCGGCAGAAACACGCTGTGCACACAACACTGACATAGACTGATAAGACATTCAGTTGATATAGTTACTGTCTTAACAAACACTGGCTTCTTTCCAGCCGTATGAATCTAAGTTCACGTGTCTTTCTGCTGCTTGGTGCTGGACAGCGAGCATAGAGTTGGTCTGTGGAGCCATTTCACTGAAAACCTTGGGAACTGCCTGTGGTTTCCTCACTATGAGCAACACCTTTCACATTGCACAGTCATATGAGTCATTGTCATTCTAAATATACTCAATATAGCCGCTTTATGGTGATGTTTGAATATGTTCAACCAAGTAGCATGGTCACAAATCACTTCTTGGAACAGTTAAATTGCTTGTTTTGGAAGAATTGACTTATTTTGTCAATTTGATTTGAGGACTTTTTGGAATCAAAACCAACGGGGCTCTTCAAACAAGGACCATTATTATAGGAAATGCTGGGACAATATGTTACTTAGTATCTTATAAAGAACAAACCAAATGAAAATTGTAACCCTGACACCTGCATTCGAATGAATGTCTGAGTGTAATCAAATGAAATCATCTTCTTGAAACAAAGAATGTCTCCAGTGTCATGTCCAGATAGCTCAGTCTGCCTGCTCTGAACCAAAGTGTTGTGTGTGGGTCTGACACACAGTCAACCAGCTGAGCTACACCACCACCCACAGAGCAGCACAGGTAGCAGAAAGTGTGAGAGGAAGTCAAGTGAATTGAAACGGTTAAGGAATCTTCATGTGTATTATGAAAAAAACTTTTAAAATACAGTTTAGTAAGCATATGGTTTGCGAAAAAAGTTTCTCATTGTATTTAACACTGGGCAGCACCCAGTTCAGGGACTAAGCAGTAGAAAATGAATGAATGAATGGAATACAAAAGTAAAGGTGGCTTTTTAATATAGCCTGATGTTTGTTATCACCTTTTGACATGACGCCATGGTGGCCATGATGTCCATGGTGGCCATGGTGGTGGTGGTCATGGTGCCAGTGTTCATAGTGGCCATGTCCATATCCAGGACCATAAACCTCTCCATACCCTCCACACGGGGGGACCACAGGTGGGCAGTAAGGTTGGGGTGGGACATAGACTGGTGCAACCTGAGGGTATGCTCCATACAATGGATATGGGTGATGGCCATGGTGATGATGATGGTGGTGGTGGTGTCCTAGTCAAATAAAAGGCAAGTCAAGGTCAGTTTAATTATATGGCTCATTTTCATACACAAAGACAATACAAAGTGCTGAACACAAATAGATAGAACTTTCAAATGCAAACAAAGATGAAACGTCAGGATTTTTAGTTTCAGTTTGTAAAAACGTTGACAATGTTTTTTAATCATTAAATTCAAAATAATGAAAGTTTGACAAACATGATGGGGAGTGGGTTTAAGTAGAAAGGAAAACCCCCGACAATAAAAACTGGTTACAGCGAGTGAGTTATTTACCTGATGGCCACATTTCAAAGTTTCAAAATGATCCAAAGTCTGAAAGTGAAAGAAGTCACATGAATTCACAGAAATCTCCTCTAAACATAAGAAAAGAAATTCATTTTTATGAGAATGTGACTGTAAACAGCTATAATTGCAGCTTAGTCCACTGTGTAAAAGACTAATGTGCTGTTAAATGTTGCCAAACAGGACGTGCAGGTCAGAGCTACTGTGTCAAACTATTTGGATATAGTCTACAAACAAAGCAGCGTCTCACATGATGCATCTGTCACATGACAAAGCTACACCCCATCAGTGGGCTATGTTTTGGTGAGGAAGACATGATCACACAATAATACAGTAGTGTTAACAAAGGAAACACCTGTAAACAAGCATCAAGATGACCGATCTACCAATACAGTCCAACATACACAAACACACATTTTTTAGAGGCCTCTCACTGACATAATGCCTGACCCCAGCCCTTCCCCTAACCCTGACCTAAAACCAAGTCTTATCCCTCAAACAGCCAACATGTCGTCACAGTGATGATTTCAAGCTAACGTTTCTCCACTCAACCATAAAAAAGACTTGTCCACACACACTTTAAGGTAGGTATTGATAGAGAGCTGTTAGTAAACTCACTGTGTGCTGGAGTGCAGATCCACAGATACAGCAGTAGCAGTCAGATGACTCTGCTTTTATTTGAAGCCACACCTCAGATGGACACATCCCGTGCTCGTCATCAGAGGCAGTGCATCTACTCTCTCTAACAGGTTTTTTAGCTCTTGTGTGAGGACTACAAACACA